CATGGCCCTCAGCCTGCCTGGCCTCAGGGGCTCAGCTGAGAGATTCTGCAGAGTTTGTGCTGCAGGGACCTTCCGCAGTGACCCCCTGATCTCAGCGCCCTGCCAGCCCTGCCCAGCTGGCTTCACCTGCCCACCAGGTAAATTCAGCTGCCACGGGGGAGTGGGGCAAGGAAGAGGAGCTTAAACTGGGAGCAGAGAGTTTTGAGATGTGTGTGGGCAAAGCTCTCAATCCTCTGCAGTTATAAAACCCTGGTGTGGGCTGTCACGTGGGTTTGCCACTGGATTTAGCCGGTGGAAGGGCTGGGGGAAAGAAAAAACTGAGATTTATATTTCAATATGAATTAGACTGAAAAGCGCTGATCTTTAAAAAGTGTGTATTCATACAGACTGGTGTCTATATATAGAGAGACGTGTGTAGATGGATCACTGGGACAAGCAAGTGCTCTCTGCCTCTCTCTCAGCACTTGCTGGGGTCCCTAATGCCACCCCTTTCTCCAGGCAGTGACAGCTACCAGCAGCAGCCTTGTCCCCGTGGCCACTACTGCCCTGCCCTGTCCCCTGCCCCGCTGCCCTGTCCCCCGGGCACCCACGGGAGGAGCCCCTTTGCCAAGCACCCAGGGGACTGCCAGGCCTGTCCTGCTGGCACCTTCAATCACCTCCCTGCCCAGCCTGCCTGCTTCCCCTGTGGCAGCTCTTCTTCCTCGCAGCCGGGTGAGTTTTTTGGTGTGAGCGGAATTTTCCCCTCTGCTGAGGTGTTTCCTGATGTTCCTGGCATCCTCCTGGAGCTGGGGGTGCTGCCCATGCCCAGCTGCTCCTCCCATCCCACCCAGGAGAAGGATTCCAATTGCAAAGCTCTTTTTTCCCTTCTTACACTCTGACCCAAGAGGATTTGATCTCCCTAAAGGAAAGGAGAGCTGAGCAGCTCTATTAATTCTTGCTCTATCTTGCTTTGACAGTGGTGAAGTTTCACCAAGATCACTTTAGCCAGGATTTGGGGGGATTCTATTAAATCTCGGGGTGTTTTTGAGCCAAAATTGAGCCCTGAGGGCATGATAAAGTGGGAAAAGGCTGGAAACTGGAAAAGTAAAGAGTGTTTATTCCTCACTTAGTGTATGTGCAGCACTGCCCCAGCCTTTCAAATCAGGAGGATTTGAGGCTGTTGAGGCATGAGAGAGGGGCTTGGCAGCCCTGCCTGGCTGGGTCTTTATCCAGGGCATACAAAATAACAGAGGGTTTGACAAAACCCTGCTGCCAACGAGCAGCGGGGCCTTTCTGCATCTCTGGCTAAATGGGTGCTGCAGGAGATGCTCTAAGGCTGTGCTGCTGCAGGCTGGCCCCAGCTGGCTGTCCTGGGGCTCAGCTCTGCCCTGGAAGGGGTGCACAGACTCCAGCAGTGGCACTGAAATGAGCAGTGGGATTTGATAAAGAGTTGTGAGCACAGGAGCTGCTCCTTTCCAGCCAGCACGGTTGTTCCAGGCTGTATTCCCCACCCTAAATCCGAGCTCTTCTCCCAGGTGCCACCAGCTGTACCTGCCATGGGCTGAACAGAGCTTTCCAGCACTCAGATGCCTCCTGCATCTGCCAGGCAGGTTATGTTTATTATGATGAAAGAGGCAAGAAAGATCCCGACAGCAACAGTGATCAGGATTGCCGACCTCAGGTAAAATCAGGCTCTGAACCAAAACTGAACCAAAACTGTTGTGTGATGTGCAGGAGAGGGGGAGTGTTCAGGCCTTAGGCTAAGCCAAACAAATCTTTTGGGTGTTTTATTGGCTCTTTCTTGTAGGAGGTTTTCTTTACCAGGATCTTGTGAGGTTAAATTTAAATTCAGTAAGGGATGGAAGTAAAGGATCATTCCATGGCAGGGCAGTGGGAGCAGCACAGTGTCTCACATGGATGACAGGTGCAGGAATTTAAACCTCCTTTAAAATGAAGTTCTTGTTTAGAACTGCCACAGGCAGGGAGACACTAAAACAAATTCTTGTTTGTACCTTGCATGATGCCACTTTTTTCCTCTTTTTGAATGAACTCCCCTAGTGCAAAAGCCCCTCCTGGCATGGGTTCCACAGCAATCTAGAGTGTCCAAATTATACCCTGGTTCTTTCAAACATTTTCTTGCAGCTGAAGAGAATTAGAACCTTAAAAGGGGTTGGGAGGTGAAATTGTTGTGTGCTTTCTTTGATGCTTTCCTTGTTGGATTAATGCCTGGAGAGGCTCCTGGGGCAGGGGCTGGCCAGAGTTAAAGGAATAAAGCAGGGATTTATTAAAAGCCCTTCCAAGGATCACCTTGGGCACTGCAAGAGCCCGGCCCTGGCTCCACCCAAGATGGGCCCCGGCTCAGGAGTTTCACACTTGGATCAGTTCTGGTCCATTTCCATCTCGGGGTGAATTGTGCAATTGCAGCTGCAGGTGATGCAGTCCCATCCTCCCAGATTGCTCTCCTCAATTCCCTGCTGCTTGTGCTTTTTGGGGCTGGAGCTGCAGCGCTGCCCTTGGCTGTGGGGCTGGGGAAGGATTGTTGTGTGTGCCTGAGCTGTGAGGAGAACTGGCTGACACTTTGTGTGGAGTTCAGAGTTAGCTACCAGTGCAGAGCCTGGAAAATGTGAAAGCTAAAAATGAAGGCATCAGGATTGCCTTTATGTCGCATGTCTGAAGCACAGCAACGGGGAGGAGGAGGACTTTAAGGATGCTGCAGCTCAGCTGAAGCTCTGGAGCGTGTCTGGGTGGGTTTTTCTGCAGGTGGATGAGCTGTGTGCCCCTGGCGAGGTCCGGCTGGCGTCCACGCGCCGCTGCGCCGTCCCCGAGCGCCACGACTGCGCTCCCACCTGCGGGCCTGCGGGAGGGGAGCTCCACGCACAGCTGGGCATGTGAGTCCCACCAGCACAAAAACACTCCTCAGTTAGCCCTGAGCCCACGAGGTCACGGCAGGGTTGGGCTGTGGGAGGTGTTTTTTTGGGAAATTTTCTGTCGGTGGAGTTCCAGTCTGTGGAGGTTTGTGCTTTCAGTGCTCAGCCATCGGTGCTGTTCATCTCCCTGGGGGGGATTTCCTGTATTTTCAACATGACCTGGTGGTTTTGTGTCTTGGGTGGAGACAAGGGGAGTGTGGACAGAGCTCACATTTTCTCACCTCAGGCTGAGCCACTCTAAAGTGGATGGTCTCTCTGTTAGATGTAGGCCAGAAATGAGAAAATCAGTCCCTGTTCCTCCCCACACATCTTTAATCATCATGGATTGGTTTGGGTTTTGAGGGACCTTAAAGATCTGGTTCCAACTAGAAATCAATTCTTGTCCCACCCCTACCCACATCTTTAATGGTTTGTCTTGGAAGGGACATTCAAAATTATTTAATTCCAACTAGAAATCAATCCTGGTTCCCCACTTTGGCGTTTTTAATGCTTTGGGTTGGAAAGGACCTTAAATACCACCTAGTTCCAACCCCCTGCCATTAGCAGGGAGATGCTGAAAACAGTTCTTCTCACATGACACCACTTTTTTCCTCTTTGTGGATGAATTTCTGTGTTGCAAAATCTCGCCCTGGCATGAGTTGCACAGAAATCTGCTGGATCAAAATCATACTCTGATCCTTTCAACCATTTTCCTGGAGCTGAGCTTTGGGGAGGGGTGTAGTGCCCCGTCACAGAGTGAAGGTGGTGTCTGCTAGACACCAACCAAGCACTGGTGGTGTCACGTTCTGGCCCTGAAGAGCAGGCACGGTGCTGATGAGATGGACAGGGAGCTCTCTCCACCCTTTGTTCAGTGGGGACAGGGTAGGATCATCCACCCTGTGGGCTGTGAGAGACTGGGGCTCTGCTGTAGCTGTTTGCTGAGGGACCAGGACTGAGCAAGGGTTTGTCCCTTTTTCAGATGTCGCTGCAAGCAGTACGTCTCTGCTGAGGAGCTCTGTGACCAGCTGTGCCTGCTGAGAGCCCCACGCCTCTCCCTGGGCTTTGGCACCCACAGAGAGCTGCTGCTGAGGATGAACCAGGGGCAAGCGAGGGTAGGTGTGGAGGGAGGGATTGATTCCTAAATGTACAGGTCTGGGAGAGCCCAGAAATCACAGTGGGGTGAAGGAACTCCTCCAGGTGAGGCAGCAATTCCTGAATTACAGGGGAAAAACACCTAGAGCAGCCTTTTACAGCTGCACTGAAGGTTGACCACAAACCAGGGTCGATTGAATCACTGATCAGAGTTCCCTCTGCTTCCCACAGGAGGTGTCAAACGTCCTGGGCCCAGATGAGCACGTGCAGAGCAGCCAGAGGGTGCATCTGGTTCTGTTCAGTCCCCAGGGAGTGCTGGGTTTCATTGTCTCCAGCACAGAAATTCTGGATGCGTTTCTCACGGGTAAGGCTTGAGAGGGAGCCCAATTTCCAGCCACACCAGGTCATCCATTTCCTCCCATGCTGGCACAGCCACTGGACAGCAAGCTGGCACAGAGGGAATTCATTATTAGATGCTGCAAACTATTTAGAAAGCAGGGAAATACCTTGCTCTGTCTGGGAGTAAACAGTGGGGAATTCACTGACTGTGTGGGTAACTGCCTGGGAACGGGTCAGATACAGATTGCAGGATTCGGGATTTCCAAGGAACTAGAAGGGAAACTCTGTTTGGAGCCAGATCTGTTGCCAGGTGAGTGGATTTGTCTTTATGAGCTGTAATTGCCCACAGATACAAATTAGATAAATCTTCCTTGCCCAGGGTCTGGGGTGGTCACATGCTGGTCACTTTGCAGTGAGGAAACTTTTATTTTGGTTTCTTCTCTTGCCTGTGGCAGGAGATTTTTCCTCAGATCAGCTGCTGCAGAAAGGGCACAGAGTGCAGAGGAGTTCCCCCAAAGACAGCCAGGCCTTGCCCCTCATCCCTAACCCAGTGGTGTGTCTGGAAGCAGGGGATACGATCCTTTTCCAGCTCAGCATCAATTCCCAGGGTGAGTGTGGCTGGGGCTGAGCACATTTGTGTGTCCAGACCCGTTCAGAGCAGTGGCTCCACGCTGGACATCCTGCATGGATCCATCCCTTCACCTCCTGGACCCCAGAACTGCAGTCTGGGCTCTGCCAGGGGCTTACCTGCAGCTTTTTGGCTGGATTGCTGTAGAGTGAGAGCATAAATCTCTGTGGGGCAATAATTAGACTCAATTAAATGAAACTGCATGGCCCTATAAAAGCAGTTCCACAGCTCTTTGCACGGTTCTGTCCCAGCTGAGGTGGCCCAGGGCTGCTGACCCTGTGCTGCCCCATCCCCAGACCGTGCCTCCAGCCACTACCCCGTTTACCAGAAGCAACATCTCTACAACAACAACCCAGGCTGGGATTTCGGACCCTTCCGGAGGCTGGACCACCTGATCCGGGAGACTCAGCTCAACATCTCCTGGTAACACCTGCTGTGGGTAACAGCGTCGTGGGCAGGACCTGAGAGCGAGTTTTTCACAGAATCAGCAGGTCTTTGGTAGTGAAAATACCAAATTTTGCTGTGTTCAGGTCCCTGTGTTTAACCATCCTCACAGAGGGAGGCTGGAGGAAGCTTGGGTCAGCTGGTACCTTCCTCACTTCTCTCTTCCAGGTTTGCCCATGTTTTCCTGGAGCCTGGGACATTTGTCTTCAGGGACAGCTCCGTTCAGGAACGCTTCCTGATTGTGACAGTGAACAAAGCCAATGTGAGCTGTGACCCTGGGGACGTGTCCTTCCAGCCCTCCTCCCTGTTCCAGCTGGCCAGACACGGCATTTTGAAGCAGCAGCATCTGCACTTGGCTCCCAACTGGGCTGCAATCACAGGTACAGCCAGAACTCTGAGATACCCACCTTCACCCTCCGTTCTTACCCATGACCTTTCCTGTCCTCTTTCAGTGTGTTTAAACAAGCATTTTCTTTGGAAAGGCCACCAAAGCTCTGCTTAGCCAGCTTTAATCCCTTGCTCCTGTGGAGCTTCCCAAAGTCCACTGCTCTCTGGCCAAGAGCCTGTCTGTGCAGGAGCTGGGGTGCTGAGAGAGGGAAGGAGCAGTTGTGCTTCTCCCCACACCCTGTTTGGAGAGCCCAGGGAGCTGAGGGCTTTGTTTTCCTTGGCTGGAAAGCAGAAAATGACAGAGTATTTCCATGATAAACCGAGCTGAAATGAAATCCAGCATTTCAAAGTTGACTAAGAGCTAAACACAAGGTCAGGTAAGGTCTCTGCTCCAGGCCAGGTGTGGGTGTGAGTGCTGTGCACACACCAGTCCTTCAGGGGGAGGCCAGGAAACAGCAGAAATGAAAGCATGGTGTGCAAGCACAATCCTGGCTCTATAAAACATACAAATATTTTATATATTATCTATAAAATTTATAAACTGGATCCCTCAGTCCTGAAAACACTTTGCTCCTGCCCCAGCTTCTCCCAGAAGAAGCAGAAGTAAAATGAGCAGAGGGTGATAAATGGGGTTTTTTGGTGTTTCTCACTTCTCACCCTCCCTCTTGGCTTCCCTAGCAATCCTCTTTGTCCTGGGCTTCCTCGTGCTGGTGCTGACCACCCTGGCCATCGTGTTCCAGTCTGCTGGCCCCAAAATTAGCCCCCTAAAGAGCTGGAAGCCACGATGGAGGAGCCTGGGGGAGCCCCACGTCCCACCAGAGTACATCCTCCTTAAGGACAGGTAAAGACCAGCCTCTGCATGGTCCTACAAAAAACCTCCCCAAGAAATTCATCCTCTGCTTGAGCTGGGGTCTGATCTCACTGAGAAAAATGAGATGCTCTTCACCCTCTTTGCCCTTCTCTCCAGCCTCAAGTTCTATCAGATGCTTGGTCCTCGTGGATCTGGAGCAGATGCTGGCTCTGGAGAGAGAGGAGCAGTGCCCAGTGCAGGTGAAGTGCTGGGCCAGCCCCAAGTGTTCTTTTTTCCCCACTTCCTCCCCATTTTCTTCTCTCAGGTGCAGTATTTTGACCCTGCTCACCCAGAATTTCCTGCACTCTCAGGAGGCCACACGGGCACTTTGCTGTGCACATTTCCAAAGGCACACACGCTTCCACCCTGGGTTTATTCCAGGGAATTTAACCCCCTGACACTGGGATGGGTTGGAGATTTTTCCCTGAGGAATGAAGAGAGTGAATTCCTTGACAAGCCCTTTAAAACAGCAGCGAGTTCAGGTGTCGGGTGAAGAAAATAAAGATTTACAAGTGTTTTCCTTGGCTTCCTCTGCTGGTTATCCTGTTCCCTGAAGGCACATGACTCCCAGGCCTCGTCTGCTTTCTGGGAATGAGAATTCCGGGATGTTCACAGGGAACAGCAGATGGCAGCAGGCAGTGATGCTGGGGGCAGCTCAGGGAACAGCTCTGGGAGCATCCCGGCAGATTTCTGGACAATTTAGGAGCTGATAGTAACGCTCTGTCATCCTCCCCCTCGCTAGGGAACGAGACCTTCTCTCACATCTCCTGCCTCATCCATCCTCCTTCCTCACAGAACACAGAATTCCCAGGGGCAGGCAGCGTGGGAGACCAGCTCACATTCCCTCGTGTGCAGTGTTTGAGTGTGAGCCTTCCCCTCGTGTTTCAGAGCACAGCTTCAGCCCCAGGCTCCTGGAGGATTTCAGTGTCCGCACCCTCTACGACAAGCTGGAGGATCAGAATTTGCACCTGGCCTCTCAGCTGGCAAAGCACAGGATGGACGTGCTGGTGTTCCACAACAGGATCAGCCACAGCATCCAGAGCCTGGTGGTCAGTGGGGAGAGGCATTTGAGGGAAGGGAGCCTTGGAACCATCACAATTTTTAATTTAAATGGCTGCCCTGAAGTGAAAGTTTATCGAAGGATGGGTGTTGCTCCTTTCAGTAGTTTATTTTGGCATAAAATAAATTTTTATATGGTTTTATATGAGGGGCTGAATGTCAGTTGTGGGGTTGGCAAAATATAATGCTGCTGCTTTCTGCAGGACACGGTGCAAGCTCTGGACTGGGAAGGCCTGAAAACCTTTTCCAGGCAAGGGATCTGTGAGCAGAAAGCTGCAGAGCAGAGCTGGGCAGCAGTGGGTGCAGATCACTGGAACAACAACTTCCAGGCAGGTGAGAGGAGCAGGGTGCAGAGCCAGGGACAGCAGCAGCACTGAGGAGGCTGCAAAAAGACCTGGCTCATCCACCTGAGAGAGCCCAGAAAAGTTTTCTGTAAGAGCTGGCAGCCTGTCTGCACCTGAGTTCAGCCAGAGGAGAGGTCTGGCAGCTCAGGGAGGAGTGAGCACGGGGTTATTTGGAGATGTTGTATGAAATGAAGCATCCTGAGACATTTCCAAAGAAAGGCTCCTGCTCTTGGTGCTGTTCTGGATTTAATCACGGTTTTCCAAGCTGTTCTGGGGAATCCCATGGAAGTTTCATGTTGGGTTCATCAGGTGCCCCGTGGCAAGAGGTGACAGAGTTAATGAGAGCTCTGGAAGTGCTGCTTGGGAACGTTCCTGACGGGAGCAGAGCTGCAAACCCAGAGATGGAGCTCAGGATCCAAGCACAGGCTGCAGTGGGAGCCGTGCCCTCCCTGCACAGCCTGGCCACTGAAAATAAATCAGAAGGGCAGGTGAGCTGCAGGTGTCTGGTTGGGTCCATCTCTCACCTTTCTGAGAGTTTTTCCATTTCTTTAACTTCTGAGTCCTTTTTATTCCGCAGGATCCTGAGCTGTTCAGCAGGAAAGATCCTTTTTCCAGCCTGCCTGGGCATGAGGAGCAGGGTAAGGGCAGTGCCACAGCAGTGAGGTGCTGTCAGAGGAGGCTGATTCTGTGCTAAGAGGGTAAAAGGAGTGTCTGTGTTTGCTAACACAGCAAATGCAGAATTACTTTTCCCCATTTATTCTATTATTTGCTTTCACATAATTTTTTTGCTGAGGTGCAGGGCAGCCACTTCTGCCTCCTCTATCCCCTTGTAGAGAGAAGTCAAGGAGTTTCCATCCCTTTACATCCTCCTCTGTAGGAGAGAAGTCAAGGAATTTCCATCCCTACAGACCCTTCACACCTTTATATTAAGTGATCACCTGTAGTGAAGAGTCTGGATGTCATTATAATAATTAAATGCTAATTTGGGGAGGCCAAGAATATTCTACACCATTATTCTGTGATCTTCACAGCATTGCCTCTGCCCAGGAAAAGATTTCCTTCTTTCAGCCATGAAGAGCCTCTTCCTTTAGGTTTAAAAATGCCCCTGTTTGTTCCAGGTTTAGCTCTCCAGCTGGTTTATCTGACTGAGCTGGAGGTCGAGGGTCTGGTGGCAGCTTCCCCCCTTGCCAAGACCCTGTGTGAGATCAAGGAAGCTTTGGTCAATCTGCAGCAACCCTCAGCCCTTGGTAATTCAGGTAATTCAGCTGTTTTTCTTCATGTGTGCTGGTTTAGAGCAGTAAATAAACCAGGAGTTCAAATAAGCAGGATTTCTCCTGAACTGAACATTTTCCTCCAGCAGCTGCTGAATTTTTTAGGCTGTGCCTCTCAGAGTTTGAAATTAATAACGGTGTGGGCTCGGTGTAATTATGGGAGGATCATTTGCATTACTTTGAAATTCAGATGCAGCGAGTTTGCAAAGGCCTGAACCTGCCTGGATCCTGCAGCTCCTGGGCAGTGCTGCAGCTCCTGTCCTGGGTTCATCCCGTTGCATTTGGCTGTAGAGGTGGCTCTTGGTGTCCACTGAATTTCCACTCTGCTCTTATTCTGAATTTCTCTATCAGACAGCAAACATCAAACCAGCCTGGGGAGCTCAGCCCTCTTCTGACTGCTGGATTCCTGGGATGAAGCCCTGCAGCTGGAATAAGGAGGAGTTGCATTCTCAGAGCACTGAAGGGACAGAAGCAGGAGTATTTCGTGTTCTGCACAGTAAAACAGCCACCAGCTCATTTCCTGGAGGAGCTGAACTTACCCTGGGCAATGGATAAAGTTGGATTGGGAAGGGAGGGGGTGTCTGGGACAGAGCAGCTTTACCTGAAGTGTCAGAACAGACACAGATTTAATTAAGGATGTATTTGGTCAAACATGTGATGAGGAATCCATATTCTTTTTGCTTAACCTTGAAATATTTTCACATTTGCTGTGGATTGCAATAGTTTGTAGGCTGGAGAAGGAGGCTGAAGTCCTTGGTGTTGTTAAGTTAATAAAGCAATAAACAGAAGACCACAAGTGGCATAAGAACCTCAATTTACCAATGTATTCTGTGCAGCCCTTCTGATCTCTGATGTGAAGGATATTTGTGAGTTTTTCAAGCATTTTAGAGCCATCCTTTTAAGCATTTCCCAGCACCCCTAAGTGGCCTGTGCATGTTTTAAATGCACTCAGTGAGTTCTGCTGGCAGAGACCTCAAAGGCCTCTACAAATGTGATTTTTTTCTGAGCAAAGATACACTTGTGGTGGTGACTCCACAATTTCCAAGCTTGCTTTCCCAAGAAACAAAAAGTTTGTTAACTTCCTTTGCAGTTCCACCCTGGGAGAACTTTGAGGCTTCCTGGAAGCTCAAAGGGATTTTTTGGGAATGGGAACAGGCAGGCAAACACTGCAAAACCCCTGCAGGTCACTGGCTGGGGGATGTGGCAGTGAAAAAAACCCATCCTTGCTTTCTTGTGTAGGTTTTCAGCAGGTTTGTTCATAACAATCCTCCATGGAGGTAAGAACCTCTCTGACAGCCAAGGGAAACCTGGTCCCCAACAGGTGACAAAATTATCTCTGTGATTTGTGCCTCCAGATCCTATTTGTACAAGGCAGGGTGGAAGGCAGTTGTAAATAAAATATGTCAATTTTTTTTTTATTGCAGTGATATTTCAGTGAGTGAATTGGTTTGCTTTAAACCAAACCAAAGATATGCATGTGGAACTTCACTCAAAGTTTTTGTTTTCCCCATTCTTGTTTTCTTAACTTCAGTTAACCAGAGTTTCAAAATATTTTGGGTCCTTTTTTCCCCCCACAAACCCAAAGGATATCGATGCAAAGACCAGAGGTTCACAGAGCTTCCTTTAACAGTTCCTTGGAATAATAAAAAGAGGAGTGGTGCAGCCACTGGGTTTATTGCACTTGTGAAGTATTTGCTGCTGACAGCTCATTTTCCAGGCTTCTGTGGAACCTCCTGAAAGCCCAGCACACTCTGGAGTGAAATTCCCTCACCTCAGGAGAGCTCCCTGGGACTGCTGATAAGAGAGATGGAGTGCAGGGTCGATTCAATTTGGCATCTGGAGAAGGGTCACGGGTTTTCCTTGGGTTTCTTTGAGTTGTGCCTCTCTTGACAGAGCATGAAAAGTCCCTTTTTAACACCCACTGCAAAGTTCAGCCTCTCCTGGAGAGCATCAGGCTGCTGTGGCTGTGAGGAGGGAGGCAGGGCTGGGTTCCCTGGGGAGGGAGCTCAGGGGTGTGAAATGAGCTGCTGCTGATTTTATCCTTCAGTCAGAAGCTGTTGTCCCACCTGCCAGAGTGTCACCTCTGCCAGACACCGCTCCTGGTGCTGCTCCTGGCACTTAGAGGCTGCCCCTGGGTGCTCCAGTCAAGCAGTTTTAAATGCTGTGAGGAGAAAAAGTTCAGTAAAAATGCCTAAAGAAAAGATCCAGTGCCAGAGGGAAGGAGTCACCTGGAACTGACCTTGGAGCGTTGTTGGCTCATCCTGTGGTGATTCCATGAATTTTTGGGGCTGCTGGCAGAACCCTGAGACAGCCAAAGCCTCATTTCTGAGACGATGGTCTCGCTGGCCCAGCACAGCAGGAAACCAGTGTGGAGGCAGGATTGTCCCTGAAAAACCCACGGATGCTCCCAGCCGGGCACAAGGACGAGCTGCAGCCCCAGCTGGCTCATCCTTAACACAGCAGTTCTATTTCTGGCATTGCTGAGGTGTTCAATTAACAGGTTCATAGTGCTTTTATCTCTTACTCCACCAGCCTGCCTAATTCACTTTATAACCCCTGAGATAGGAGCTATCTTCATGGGATGGATCCTGGCCCAGACCTGTTGATTCATCATTCCTGCTGGTTCGCTGTGCTGGGTACTTGAATATCCACCACCATTAGAAAGGTGTGTAAAACTGTGTGTAAAAATGCAATTCCTACAGATAAACCTTTCTTCCTCACAGCTTCTCCTGACAAAATAAAACAGGCTATAAAACCTAATTAGCCAGGGCAGAGATTTTCTCTCTACACCACCCAGGGGTTCATTGATCTCAGAAATACTCACAAGCAATTTTAAAGTTCCAGCACTTGGTTTTATGCGGTTCTTTGGTTGTTGTTAATGCTTTGAATTGAACAAAAACATATCCAAAATGTATTTTTTCACTGTGGTACCCAAAGAAGCAGGAGGTTGTTGGGATTTCCCGGTAAGATTGTCGTGCTGGTGGTCATGGAGTGAGAATTCCCTGTGTTTACGTGAAAATTACATGGCAATCTTGGAAGTTTTCAGCTGTTCATGGTCTGGGAAAGTGGTGTCCATATTTTGTACAAGGAGAAGAAATTAAGCAGGACAAAATCTTGTCTTAAAGTAAATCAAGACTAAGAAGAAATTTGGTTTTCCTTGTTCCCTTGTGCTGACTGGGAGCTTTAGACCCTGAAAAAGAGAGGCCTGGAAATTCCACTTTTATCCACCAGCAGCAACAGGCCTCGACTCCCATCTCCCCCCTCACCCATCTGTCAGCCAGAGCAAGTTCTGACAAATCAGAGCCCAAAAATACCTCCAGATCTGCCCTGCTCCCTGGAGGAATCTGCTGCAGCCCCTCACTCCTCCAGAGCCACAGAGCAAAGATCCCTTCCTCCCATCCTTCCCAGCCCACACCTGCAGGAGCCAGACGGGCAGAAAAGCAGCCAATAAACCCATTTCTTGGCGAGGCAAACACAGATAAGGTGTTTGAACCACAGAACTGAAGGTTCTCCTGGTGCCCAGCTCTTCCTGAATTCCCCTGGAGAGCCTGGAGAGCTGGGCCTGACCTTCTCCAGCGGCGCCAGGGAGGTGTGAGCTGATAACGGGGCTGTGGTCAACAAGGAAGTCACGGTGTGGTGTGTGGGTCAAAGGCCTCCAGCAGCTCAGGTCAGGCCCTTTTGGGCAGCTGGAATTGTTTTTCCTGAAGCACCAGAGTCTCCAGGATCCAGGTGTGAGGTGAAGGATGAGCCTGGGCTGACAGAGGGGAACGTGCTCAGCAAGGATGCCAGGGGAGGGATCACAGGGAAAAAGGGAAGAAGTTGGGAATTGGAGTAAGAAAAAAGACATGGCTCTCTTTTAGGGTTAGGTTTGGGTTAGAATTAGGTTTGGGTTAGGATTAGATGTCCTGGGAGGGATCACAGGGAGGAGGAGCAGAAGGTGGGAATTCAAGCTAAAAAAAGACATGGCTCTCTTTTAGGGTTAGATTTGGGTTAGGGTTAGATGCCCACAGAAGGATCACAGAGAAAAGGGGCAGAAGTTGGGAATTGAAGCTAAAAAAACCATGGCTCTCCCTTAGAGTTAGGTTTGGGCTAGGTTTGGTTGAGGTTTGGATTAGGGTTAGGTTTGGCTATGGTTAGGTTTGGATTAGGGTTAGGTTTGGGTTAGGGTTAGGTTTGGGTTAGGGTTAGGTTTGGCTTAGGGTTAGGTTTGAGTTAGGGTTAAGTTTGAGTTAGGTTAGGGTTAGGTATGAGTTAGGATTAGGTTTGGGTTAGGATTAGGTTTGGGTTAGGGTAAGGTTTGGATTAGGATTAGGTTTGGGTTAGGGTTAGGTTTGGGTTAGGGTTAGGTTAGGGTTAGGTTTGGGTTTGGGTTAGGGTTAAATGTCCAGGGAGGGATCCCAGGCAAAAGGGACAAAAGTTGGAAATTGTAACCAAAAAAACCAGGGTTCTCTCTTATGGAGTGCTGCTGGGAAATTTGGGTTACTCCACCTGCATGAAATTTTGATATTTTGCTATAAATGAGTTCAGGACCTGTGGGGTTTTTTTGGGTCTTGTCAGAGGATCCAGAGTTAATTTTTTCTCCTGTAGCCAAAGGAGGGTAACATGGTCAGTAAACAGTCCTTGACCTCTTTCCTGGGGAAATAATTTTAAATTTAAAATGTAAATGTTATTGGATCCACATTAAGTCCCTCAGCAAATGCCTCCCATCAATGATTTACCACCCTAAGGAGGTTTCCTGCAGTGTATTTTCCTGTGTTTTGTAGGTCAGCAGTAACTAAGAATGAGGAAGACTTTGTTGTGTTATAAATCCTTTGCTTACCTTGGCTCCTCCACCTGCTCTTAGCAAACTACAGCCTCAAACCCCTTAGCCCAGCTCAGAAATAAAATATCCCTTAAAATATTCTGGGGGTTCTTTTAAAATTTATTTTTATATTTATTTTATATATATATATATGTATATATATATATATGTGTGTATGTATGTATGTATGTATGTATGTATATGTGTATATATATTAATTTATTTATAATATATAATTATATATTATATGATTATATATTTATATTTATAATATGTATTTTATATGTATATTTTATATATAAAATATATATGTATATACCTGTATATAAAATAAGTATGTGTATACATATATATACACATATGTATATGTAATTATATAATTGTATATTATATATTTATAATATATATTATATATTTATAGTATATATAATTATGTTATAGGATCATATATTATATAAATGTAATTATATATTCATAATATAGATATTTTGTATATTTTAATATATATTTATATATTTATTTATACCTGTTTATTTTTATTTTTTTTTAATGTTTTTTTTTATTTGTGCTGAGCTGTTCCACAGCCATTTGCTCCCACCCCTCTGGAATCCTCCCTCTGTCCCTCTTTCTCCCCATCCCTCACAGCTGCCAGGACTCTGCTTAAATGCATTTTTTATTTCATTTAGGATTCACACTTCAGGACTGCTCACTCTGATTTACAAACCTCTCAGAAAACTGTTGAGATTTTGAATTTACACCTGGGTAATTTTCACTGCTCCATCAGAAATCCTGCTCAGGGAGAGGGGAGCAGCCAGGGTAGGAATTTCTGCTTTAGAAGCAAGACTTGCACAGAACAATGTGGTTTTTCCTGTCATTTCTCAGTTCCACAACCACAAAAGTTGTCTTTTTTTTCCAGTTTTACAAGAGTGGTGGCTGGAGAAGCATGGAGAATATGCAGGGTTGGAATGGCTGAAGAAATCAGAGCTTGGAAAAATAAATAATGC